AGCTGCATATGAGAAAAATAATATTATTTTGATCAGTCACATGGTTTGGCCGCCATCTTGGATTTTGTGAAAATAGACATTATGCAACTACATGTTTTGTATTAGTCTGATTTCTTTCAAATTTTGTATGTGCATTTGTGTCATTAGATGCATCATTTTGCCACAATAGCACACTGCTTGGCCACGTGGATGGGCACCCATGGGTATGGTCATGTGAACTCATTAATATGCATAACCATTATATCTTAAACACTGTTGCAGTTAGGAAGATGAATCCTGTGATATTATGACAACAGTGAACAAGAGATTTGTTTAAAAATAACAGATGACCATATATGGTCATGTGAACTCATTAATATGCAAAGCAGTCATATCTAAAACACTGTTGCAGAGCAGGACATGTAACAAGTGTCATTATGAAGACATTGAATGAAAGATGTAACTGACATTAGAAATGGTTATATATGATTATGTAATCTCATTATTGTGCATAAGAACATGGCTCATTATATATCCTGAAAACCATATTTCGATAACCAAACCAGGTAAATACATGGTACCAACTTCATTTTGACCCCATGTTACTGATAATTCAAGCTACCTGATTGTCTAACATGTGACCACATTAATTACGAAACAGAATCTTGTCAGCTTGGGCCCCGGTGACGCCGCTTGCGGCTTTAATTTTTATTATTATTATTGCTACAAAATTGTTGATTATATATATAATTTAGTTAGTAATATTTGGTGGCACATTTGTGAAATCTGTCTAATATGCTGAGTTGACACACTAAAACCATTGCACCCCCATGTCATGTCAAGTAAACAACTTCCAACATAAATTGACAACAACAACAGGTCAGGGTCATCACAAGGTCACATGTCACATGTCACTTTGTCGTATTGTCTAACTTTGTCATTCTCGATTCAGTCACACGTACAGTAACCAAATAATGCAAAAATATATTGTGGTAGTAGTGACAACAACTTCATCTTTCAGCTTCAATTTCCTGTACCCCCACATCATTAATTATACATATCCATGCATTACATACACAAATACGTTTCCTCTGATGGGATATGCCCTTCCAGTGATCATTGTCACAATTACTAAACTATCATAGATTCCACATCTCCTATACATCTAGTAACTGCCACTGCCCTCTGCAATTACAGCGGAGCTCTACCAACCACAAGGTCACTTGATGTTCTTCTGTTCGCTGATTGATTCTTACCCATATCACATGTACTGCACGTTATACACATTTTAAAAAATAAACATTGTTCAGTGCTTTGACTCAGTCATAACTATGATAATTTTTTCTAGCTTGCCTATAAATGAACAATTGGCTTAGCATATTTCTCAAAAATTGGTCACTCTTAATAAATAAAACATTGTGTAAGCCTCTCTATACTATGTACATGCAGTTCTGCATATATTGCTGCTTTCAAAAGAAAATCATATTTATATTTGATACTTTGCAGGAATGCGTTATAGCATGGATGTTTCTGCTGATGAAGTACAAGCTTTAGCTTCATTGATGACATATAAATGTGCGGTTGTTGATGTTCCATTTGGTGGTGCTAAAGCTGGTGTCAAGATTGATCCACGCAAGTATTCAGACTTTGAGCTTGAAAGAATTACTCGAAGATTTACCATAGAATTGGCTAAAAAGAGCTTTATAGGTAGGTAAAAATGGAATTACTATGGTTATACAACGGAGTGATGTACCGTAGTTATTGAGGTAAGAGCCCAGGCTTCTGAATATGGAAAATTGTCAAAAAATGGAGGCACCCGCCCAGACATCCCCTCCAAAAAAAACAAAAATTTGTGAAAATTGATAACTCGCAGATTGAACTGCGGCTGGGAATAGAATGGCAAATTGAAGCATACAATGGAAATAGTATGCAACATTAGAAGTATAACAAAAATAATTTATTGCTCATAACGTAAAAAAATAAACCAGAAATAATAAAAATCTACAGTGAGGAATCCTTAGAATTAGGATTATCCACCGCAGACACGCCCAATACACGTGAACTCAAAATGAACTAAAATGTCAGGGGTTAAACTGTGCAAAATTATTTGTTGGTTTTGACAAATACTGGATCAACAGTCATACACGAACAATAATTTACGAATTTACATAGGAAACATTAGGAAAAGTTCATAGTTGTTTGAAAAAACTTCTCAGATCTGCATTTGTACGTTCATTGCCATCTTCATCAAAGTCAAAACTCTAAATGTCCAAGTCTGCCTCACTGTCGCCATCCAACAAAATCCCTACAGCTTCGTCCAGAAGTTCTTCAATGTCATCTCACACATTTTTAACATCTAACAGTCGGACCAATCAGAGAGCAGCTTGTTTGTTGGCAAATTGTTTTGACCTATCAAATTTGTACATATATGTTTTGACTCAACTGAAGATTGAATGATGTTGACAAATTGTTTTGACCTATCAAATTTGTACATATATGTTTTGACTCAACTGAAGATTGAATGATGTTGACAAATTGTTTTGACCTATCAAATTTGTACATATATGTTTTGACTCAACTGAAGATTGAATGATGTTGACAAATTGTTTTGACCTATCAAATTTGTACATATATGTTTTGACTCAACTGAAGATTGAATGATGTTGACAAATTGTTTTGACCTATCAAATTTGTACATATATGTTTTGACTCAACTGAAGATTGAATGATGTTGACAAATTGTTTTGACCTATCAAATTTGTACATATATGTTTTGACTC